GGTGAAGGACAGGAGGCCCCTGGACTCTGTGGAGGAGGTGAAGGACAGGAGGCCCCTGGACTCTGTGGAGGAGGTGAAGGACAGGAGGCCCCTGGAACTCTGTGGAGGAGGTGAAGGACAGGAGGCCCCTGGACTCTGTGGAGGAGGTGAAGGACAGGAGGCCCCTGGACTCTGTGGAGGAGGTGAAGGACAGGAGGCCCCTGGAATCTGTGGAGGAGGTGAGGGACAGGAGGCCCCTGGACTCTGTGGAGGAGGTGAGGGACAGGAGGCCCCTGGACTCTGTGGAGGAGGTGAGGGACAGGAGGCCCCTGGACTCTGTGGAGGAGGTGAGGGACAGGAGGCCCCTGGACTCTGTGGAGGAGGTGAGGACAGGAGGCCCCTGGACTCTGTGGAGGAGGTGAGGGACAGGAGGCCCCTGGACTCTGTGGAGGAGGTGAGGGACAGGAGGCCCCTGGACTCTGTGGAGGAGGTGAGGGACAGGAGGCCCCTGGACTCTGTGGAGGAGGTGAGGGACAGGAGGCCCCTGGACTCTGTGGAGGAGGTGAGGGACAGGAGGCCCCTGGACTCTGTGGAGGAGGTGAGGGACAGGAGGCCCCTGGACTCTGTGGAGGAGGTGAGGGACAGGAGGCCCCTGGACTCTGTGGAGGAGGTGAGGGACAGGAGGCCCCTGGACTCTGTGGAGGAGGTGAGGGACAGGAGGCCCCTGGACTCTGTGGATCTTGTTACACATTAAACATCAGCTCTACCAGGTCATGTGACATAAGATAAGAGTTCCTTTATTCGTCCCACAGTGGGGAAATGTCGTTGTTGCAGCGCACAGACAGGACAGTAGTAAGAGCACACAGGGAGCACACACAATATATACAAATAAGTAGTAGCTATGTTTCTTAGCTAACATAACTAGCTGTAGATGCTGAAAATGCTTCAATACCAGTCAAAAATATATATATATGTAGTAGTGCAGTTATATACTGTACAGTTAAATAGTCCAGGATAAAAGTATATAAGTAAAGTGACATCACAGAGTAAACATGTGACATCACAGAGTAAACATGTGACATCACACAGAGTAAACATGTGACATCACAGAGTAAACATGTGACATCACAGAGTAAACATGTGACATCACACAGAGTAAACATGTGACATCACATAGTAAACATGTGACATCACAGAGTAAACATGTGACATCACAGAGTAAACAGAGTGTAAGTCATGTGACATCACAGAGTAAACATGTGACATCACACAGAGTAAACATGTGACATCACAGAGTAAACATGTGACATCACAGAGTGAACATGTGACATCACAGAGTGAACATGTGACATCACAGAGTAAACATGTGACATCACAGAGTAAACATGTGACATCACAGAGTGAACATGTGACATCACAGAGTGAACATGTGACATCACAGAGTAAACATGTGACATCACAGAGTGAACATGTGACATCACAGAGTAAACATGTGACATCACAGAGTGAACAGAGTGTAAGTCATGTGACATCACAGAGTGAACATGTGACATCACAGAGTGAACATGTGACATCACAGAGTGAACAGAGTGTAAGTCATGTGACATCACAGTGTAAGTCATGTGACATCACAGTGTAAACATGTGACATCACAGAGTAAACATGTGACGTCACAGAGTGAACATGTGACATCACACAGAGTAAACATGTGACATTACAGAGTAAACAGAGTGTAGGTCATGTGACATCACAGAGTAAACAGAGTGTAGGTCATGTGACATCACAGAGTAAACAGAGTGTAGGTCATGTGACATCACAGAATAAACAGAGTGTAGGTCATGTGACATCACAGAGTAAACAGAGTGTAGGTCATGTGACATCAAAGAGTAAACAGAGTGTAGGTCATGTGACATCACAGAGTAAACAGAGTGTAGGTCATGTGACATCAAAGAGTAAACAGAGTGTAGGTCATGTGACATCACAGAGTAAACAGAGTGTAGGTCATGTGACATCACAGGTGTAACTCTATATTGTGTTTGGAACAGTCTGGAAGATGATGAAGAAGCACAAATGAAAGTCCAGGAGAAAGAGGAGTTCTCCGAACACTCACACCAGCAGGAGGAGGAGGAGGACCACAGAGAGGAGGAGGAGGAGGACCACAAAGAGGAGGAGGAGGAGGACCACAGAGAGGAGGAGGAGGAGGACCACAAAGAGGAGGAGGACCACAGAGAGGAGGAGGAGAGGAGATGGAGAGAGGAGGAGGAGGAGAGGAGATGGAGAGAGGAGGAGGAGGGGAGGAGATGGAGAGAGGAGGAGAAAAGCCTGGACTTCCCAGAATCCCCCAGACCTCTGAGTCAGGAGACCAGGAATCTGACGGCCAGCGAGTTACTGCTGAACAAGTGAGTCACTGATGAACGAGTGTGTGTCTCCTGTGTGTGTGTCTCCTGTGTGTGTGTCTCCTGTGTGTGTGTCTCCTGTGTGTGTGTCTCCTGTGTTGATATGTACAATAGTTCTGGCCCCTCCCATCTCTGTGTGGAGTGACAGACTTATGGTGCTTTCAGACCGGATCATGCGTTGCCTCGGGTTTCAATGCAAAGTCTATGGTGACACGTGTTCGAGCGTCACAACGCACGGACCTCTCGGCACGTACGGACTGTTCAGTAGAGACGCACAGACTTGGCGGGAAAGTCAAAGGGGAGGAGCAGGAGCGAAAAATGGACGCCCACAGGAGATGGATTCTACTCATCCTTTCCTTTGGACATTTGTGCAGCGACCAATCAGAGAGCAGACCGAACATACTGTAAACATCCAAAACAGGACCCACACCAGGCGTCACCAGAACTCAAACCAGGGCTGACAATGGGGGACTCTGTGCTTGTTAAAATATGCATTGTCACGCTCCTGTGACCTTATGCAACTGCTTTGAGTGTGTTCGCCGATGCGGAAATACTGTTTAATAATATGAAAACATGTATAAGGGGTGACAGTAGCTCAGTTGGTAGAGCATTGGCCTTCAGGCCTGAAGGTTGTGGGTTCAATTCCCACCTCTACACCTTCTCCACCGACTCCCGCTGATGACTGCTGTTGTTGTGTCCTTGGGCAAGACACTTAACCCCACTTTGCCCAAAGCCCCCACTGAAAGATCAAGGCTATGCTCACACTCAGAGAGCAGCCGTCCTCCTGTGGACTCACCACCTGCAGAGGGTCAGTGAGGGGCTGGTGCTATGAGACTTGGGTGGCATCTCTGACTGTCACCCCCCTGACCCAGAAATGGATTAAAGGGAAGAAGATGGATGGATGGATGGATGGTATGAGGCACCTCCGTGAACACATACTGCTGTTATATAAAGTCACCTCCGTGAACACATACTGCTGTTATATAAAGTCACCTGTGAACACATACTGCTGTTATATAAAGTCACCTCCGTGAACACATACTGCTGTTATATAAAGTCACCTCCGTGAACACATACTGCTGTTATATAAAGTCACCTGTGAACACATACTGCTGTTATATAAAGTCACCTCCGTGAACACATACTGCTGTTATATAAAGTCACCTGTGAACACATACTGCTGTTATATAAAGTCACCTGTGAACACATACTGCTGTTATATAAAGTCACCTGTGAACACATACTGCTGTTATATAAAGTCACCTCCGTGAACACATACTGCTGTTATATAAAGGCACCTCCGTGAACACATACTGCTGTTATATAAAGTCACCTCCGTGAACACATACTGCTGTTATATAAAGTCACCTCCGTGAACACATACTGCTGTTATATAAAGTCACCTGTGAACACATACTGCTGTTATATAAAGTCACCTCCGTGAACACATACTACTGTTATATAAAGTCACCTCCATGAACACATACTGCTGTTATATAAAGTCACCTGTGAACACATACTGCTGTTATATAAAGTCACCTGTGAACACATACTGCTGTTATATAAAGTCACCTCCGTGAACACATACTGCTGTTATATAAAGTCACCTGTGAACACATACTGCTGTTATATAAAGTCACCTCCGTGAACACATGCTGCTGTTATATAAAGTCATCATGAACACATACTACTGTTATATAAAGTCACCTCCGTGAACACATACTGCTGTTATATAAAGTCACCTCCGTGAACACATACTGCTGTTATATAAAGTCTCCTCCGTGAACACATACTGCTGTTATATAAAGTCTCCTCCGTGAACACATACTGCTGTTATATAAAGTCACCTCCGTGAACACATACTGCTGTTATATAAAGTCACCGTGAACACATACTACTGTTATATAAAGTCACCTGTGAACACATACTGCTGTTATATAAAGTCTCCTCCGTGAACACATACTGCTGTTATATAAAGTCTCCTCCGTGAACACATACTGCTGTTATATAAAGTCACCTCCGTGAACACATACTGCTGTTATATAAAGTCACCGTGAACACATACTGCTGTTATATAAAGTCACCTCCGTGAACACATACTGCTGTTATATAAAGTCACCATGAACACATACTACTGTTATATAAAGTCACCTCCGTGAACACATACTGCTGTTATATAAAGTCACCTCTGTGAACACATACTGCTGTTATATAAAGTCTCCTCCGTGAACACATACTGCTGTTATATAAAGTCTCCTCCGTGAACACATACTGCTGTTATATAAAGTCACCTCCGTGAACACATACTGCTGTTATATAAAGTCACCGTGAACACATACTACTGTTATATAAAGTCACCTGTGAACACATACTGCTGTTATATAAAGTCTCCTCCGTGAACACATACTGCTGTTATATAAAGTCTCCTCCGTGAACACATACTGCTGTTATATAAAGTCACCTCCGTGAACACATACTGCTGTTATATAAAGTCACCGTGAACACATACTGCTGTTATATAAAGTCACCTCCGTGAACACATACTGCTGTTATATAAAGTCTCCTCTGTGAACACATACTGCTGTTATATAAAGTTACCTCTGTGAACACATACTGCTGTTATATAAAGTCTCCTCCGTGAACACATACTGCTGTTATATAAAGTCACCTCCGTGAACACATACTGCTGTTATATAAAGCCCGTGGAATGTCTGTGAGCACAGACTTATGGAAGACTATTGGCACCTTAATTCAATTGTCTATTCATTTGTCAAATGGCTATGCATTATGTTATTTTAGTATTTATTTTGTATTTGTCAAAGTGTAATGTTATATCCAATTTTGACATTTAATGTTCTATTCCAAAAGTTCTAATGCAATTCAATATGTAAAGTGTCGATACAATGTCTTTATATATTGCAAATAACAAGATTTTGAAATGAATAGCATATTGACATGGACATGTGGCCTCTTTATTCATTGTTCTATTCATTCTTAACATGGCATTTAGTTTAGAGTTGTATTTGGCAAAATTGCATGTTATATCTTATTTTGACTTGTATTCCACATTTGAGTATGTTAAAGCTGCACTAACTGACTCAGGTCTCAGACACAGACTCGCTGCAAAGCTGCATATTGGAGAAGATCTGTACACAAGAAGCCGCTAGCATAGCTCTGTTAGCATCAGAGCTACTTCTGGCACTTCCGGTTCGCGTCAGAACATCTCGGTGTGAAGTCCTCTGCGTCTGAAAACTAGAGAAGACTGGTGACCGTCTGGTGAGCGTCTGGTGAGCGGGGCTTCAGCGTCTCAGCGTTGGCGGTCTGAAAGCACCATAATGCCCAAAAATAATATAATATTACTCACTTACTTACTTGTGTGTCTCATGTGTGTCTCATGTGTGTGTGTGTGTTGTGTGTGTTGTGTGTTGCAGTGCGTTTGAGAGTGAGGAGATCTCAGAGTCAGAGAGTTTCTTCCTGAAGTTGCCTCGGCCTCTGAAGTTGTGTATCGCTGTGTACAACACAGTGATGTCGAAGTCTGAGATGTTGTGTTACTTTGTGATAATCCTGAACCACATGGTGTCAGCCTCGGTGCTCTCGCTCTTCCTCCCCATCCTCCTCTTCCTCTGGGCCATGCTGTCTGTGCCACGCCCATCCAAACGCTTCTGGATGACAGCCATCATCTACACTGAGGTATGTGACATCACAGACACCTCCTCTCTCCTCCTCACCTTCTCCCTTACCTCCAGCTCTCTCTCCTCCTCTCTGACCACCTCCTCTCTCCTCCTATCTCCTCCTATCTCCTCTTCTCCCCTCCTCTCTCCTCTTCTCTGACCTCCTCTCTCCTCTTCTCTCCTCCTCTCTCCTCCTCTCTGACCTCCTCTCTCCTCCTCTCTGACCACCTCCTCTCTCCTCCTCTCTGACCTCCTCTCTCCTCTTCTCTCCTCCTCTCTCCTCCTCTCTGACCACCTCCTCTCTCCTCCTATCTCCTCTTCTCCCCTCCTCTCTCCTCTTCTCTGACCTCCTCTCTCCTCTTCTCTCCTCCCTCTCTCCTCCTCTCTGACCTCCTCTCTCCTCCTCTCTGACCACCTCCTCTCTCCTCCTCTCTCCTCTTCTCTCCTCCTCGCTCCTCTTCTCTCCTCCTCTCTCCTCCTCTCTGACCTCCTCTCTCCTCCTCGCTCCTCTTCCCTCCTCCTCTCTCCTCCCTCTCCCCTCCTCTCTCCTCCTCTCTCTGACCTCCTCTCTCCTCTCCTCTCTCCTCCTCGCTCCTCTTCTCTCCTCCTCTCTCCTCCTCTCTGACCTCCTCTCTCCTCTTCTCCCCTCTTCTCCCCTCTTCTCTCCTCCTCTCTCCTCCTCTCTGACCTCCTCTCTCCTCCTATCTCCTCTTCTCCCCTCCTCTCTCCTCGTCTCTGACCTCCTCTCTCTCCTCTTCTCTCCTCCTCTCTCCTCCTCTCTGACCTCCTCTCTCCTCGTCTCTGACCACCTCCTCTCTCCTCCTCTCTCCTCCTCGCTCCTCTTCTCTCCTCCTCTCTCCTCCTCTCTGACCTCCTCTCTCCTCCTCGCTCCTCTTCCCTCCTCCTCTCTCCTCCTCTCCCCTCCTCTCTCCTCCTCTCTGACCTCCTCTCTCCTCTCCTCTCTCCTCCTCGCTCCTCTTCTCTCCTCCTCTCTCCTCCTCTCTGACCTCCTCTCTCCTCTTCTCCCCTCTTCTCCCCTCTTCTCTCCTCCTCTCTCCTCCTCTCTGACCTCCTCTCTCCTCCTCGCTCCTCCTCTCTGACCTCCTCTCTCCTCCTCGCTCCTCTTCTCTCCTCCTCTCTCCTCTCCTCTCTCCTCCTCGCTCCTCTTCTCTCCTCCTCTCTCCTCTCCTCTCTCCTCCTCGCTCCACTTCTCTCCTCCTCTCTCCTCTTCTCTCCTCCTCTCTCCTCTCCTCTCTCCTCTCCTCTCTCCTCCTCGCTCCTCTTCTCTCCTCCTCTCTCCTCCTCTCTGACCTCCTCTCTCCTCTTCTCTCCTCCTCTCTCCTCCTCTCTCCTCCTCTCTCCTCCTCGCTCCTCCTCGCTCCTCCTCTCTGACCTCCTCTCTCCTCTTCTCCCCTCTTCTCTCCTCCTCTCTCCTCCTCTCTCCTCCTCTCTGACCTCCTCTCTCCTCCTCTCTCCTCCTCGCTCCTCCTCTCTGACCTCCTCTCTCCTCTCTGACCTCCTCTCTCCTCCTCGCTCCTCCTCTCTGACCTCCTCTCTCCTCCTCTCTCCTCCTCGCTCCTCCTCTCTGACCTCCTCTGACCTCCTCTCTCCTCTTCTCCCCTCTTCTCTCCTCCTCTCTCCTCCTCTCTCCTCCTCTCTGACCTCCTCTCCTCCTCCTCTCTCCTCCTCGCTCCTCCTCTCTGACCTCCTCTCTCCTCTTCTCCCCTCCTCTCTCCTCTTCTCTCCTCCTCTCTCCTCCTCTCTGACCTCCTCTCTCCTCTCCTCTCTCCTCTTCTCTCCTCCTCTCTCCTCCTCTCTGACCTCCTCTCTCCTCCTCTCTCCTCCTCTCTGACCTCCTCTCTCCTCTTCTCTCCTCCTCTCTCCTCCTCTCTGACCTCCTCTCTCCTCTTCTCTCCTCCTCGCTCCTCCTCTCTGACCTCCTCTCTCCTCCTCTCTCCTCCTCTCTCCTCCTCTCTGACCTCTCTCTCTCTTCTCTCCTCCTCTCTCCTCCTCTCTGACCTCCTCTCTCTCCTCTTCTCTCCTCCTCTCTCCTCTTCTCTGACCTCCTCTCTCCTCCTCGCTCCTCCTCTCTGACCTCCTCTCTCCTCCTCTCTCCCCTCTTCTCCCCTCTTCTCTCCTCCTCTCTCCTCCTCTCTGACCTCCTCTCTCCTCTTCTCTCCTCCTCTCTCCTCCTCTCCCCTCCTCTCTGATCTCCTCTTTCCTCCTCTCTCCTCCTCTCCCCTCCTCTCTCCTCCTCTCTGACCTCCTCTCTCCTCCTCTCTCCTCCTCTCTCCTCCTCTCTGACCTCCTCTCTCCTCCCCTCTCCTCCTCTCTCCTCCTCTCTCCTCCTCTCTGACCTCCTCTCTCCTCTTCTCTCCTCCTCTCTCCTCCTCTCTGACCTCCTCTCTCCTCTTCCCTCCTCCTCTCTCCTCTTCTCTGACCTCCTCTCTCCTCCTCGCTCCTCCTCTCTGACCTCCTCTCTCCTCTTCTCCCCTCTTCTCCCCTCTTCTCTCCTCCTCTCTCCTCCTCTCTGACCTCCTCTCTCCTCCTCTCTCCTCCTCTCTGACCTCCTCTCTGACCTCCTCTCTCCTCCTCTCTCCTCCTCTCTCCTCCTCTCTGACCTCCTCTCTCCTCTTCTCTCCTCCTCTCTCCTCCTCTCTGACCTCCTCTCTCCTCTTCTCTCCTCCTCTCTCCTCCTCTCTGACCTCCTCTCTCCTCTTCTTTCCTCCTCTCTCCTCCTCTCTGACCTCCTCTCTCCTCCTCTCTCCTCCTCGCTCCTCCTCTCTCCTCTTCTCCTATAATAATAATAATAATACATTTTATTTCTTATATCCATCCATCCATGTTCTTCCCTTTAATCCATTTCTGGGTCAGGGGGGTGGCAGTCAGAGATGCCACCCAAGTCTCATAGCACCAGCCCCTCACTGACCCTCTGCAGGTGGTGAGTCCACAGGAGGACAATATTTCTTATATATTATTCTATATTTAGTTCTTAGCTATGGATCCTGTGCTTGCATGTGAGTCCTTAATAAAGTATAAATAAATAAAATATTTAAAAGCGCCTTTCAAAACACCCAAGGACACTGTACAGGACATAAAAAACATTAACAACAGGATCAACAGAATAAAACAGTAGTGCATTATGGGATGGTGGGTGGTTGTGTGTTAGGTGTGTGTGTGTGCGTGTGTGTTAGGTGTGTGTGTGCGTGTGTGTGTGTTAGGTGTGTGTGTGCGTGTGTGTTAGGTGTGTGTTAGGTGTGTGTGTGCGTGTGTGTGTGTTAGGTGTGTGTGCGTGTGTGTTAGGTGTGTGTTAGGTGTGTGTGTGCGTGTGTGTGTGTTAGGTGTGTGTGCGTGTGTGTTAGGTGTGTGTTAGGTGTGTGTGTGCGTGTGTGTGTGTTAGGTGTGTGTGCGTGTGTGTTAGGTGGGGTAGGACAGTCTGAACAGATGGGTTTTAAGTCTGGATTTGAAGAGTGGAAGAGAGACAATGGTACGGAGGTCAGGGGGGAGAGAGCTCTCGTCCTCTCTCCTCTCTTCTCCTCTCTCCTCCTCTCTTCTCCTCTCCTCTCCCCTCCTCTCTGACACATCCTCTCTCCTCCTCTCTTCTCCCTCCCCCTCCTCTCTGACACATCCTCTCTCCTCCTCTCTTCTCCTCTCCTCTCCCCTCCTCTCTGACACATCCTCTCTCCTCCTCTCTTCTCCTCTCCCCTCCTCTCTGACACATCCTCTCTCCTCCTCTCTTCTCCTCTCCTCTCCCCTCCTCTCTGACACATCCTCTCTCCTCCTCTCTTCTCCTCTCCCCTCCTCTCTGACACATCCTCTCTCCTCCTCTCTTCTCCTCTCCTCTCCCCTCCTCTCTGACACATCCTCTCTCCTCCTCTCTGACACATCCTGTCTCCTCCTCTCTTCTCCTCTCTCAACTCTGACACATCCTCTCTCCTCTCCTCTCCTCTCCTCCTCTCTGACACATCCTCTCCCCCCCTCTCTCCTCCTCTCTGACACATCCTCTCCCCCCCTCTCTCCTCCTCTCTGACACATCCTCTCCCCTCCTCTCTCCTCTCTTCTCCTCTCTCCTCTCTCCTCCTCTCTGACACATCCTCTCCCCTCCTCTCTCCTCTCTTCTCCTCTCTCCTCTCTCCTCCTCTCTGACACATCCTCTCTCCTTCTCTCCTCTTCTCCTCTGACCTCCTCTCTCCTCCTCAGCTCACCGTGGTGGTAAAGTACCTGTTCCAGTTTGGGTTCTTCCCGTGGACCACGTCTTCGTACCGTGGCATTAATGCGGACCGTCCCTTTGCGTTGCCGAACATCATCGGAGTCGAGAAGAAAGACGGATACGTCCTGTTCGACCTCATCCAGCTCCTGGCTCTGTTCTTCCACCGCTCTATCCTCAAGGTGCTCTAGGGTGGGACTCTAGGGTGTCTATCAGACTCTAGGGTGGGACTCAAAGGTGTCTATCAGACTCTAGGATGGGACTCTAGGGTGTGACTCTAGGGCACATGTGTCAAAGTCAAGGCCCGCGGGCCGGATTTGGCCCGCGAATGAATTTTACATGGCCCGTTGCCTGCCATTGACGCACTATTACGTCAATTGCGTTTTCCGCTATTTTCATGTTCCCAGATGTCTATTATATCTAATATGTTTGGGGATAAGCTTGAGAGCATATTGAATCGAGCCAGCAGGTGGCAGCAGCGCTCTCTGAATGGTTTAAAAACAGTTAGATGCACTTGTTGTGCCTCTTTTTTCTCAGCTTTTCTGTGATTTCAGTAAAACTTCCCTCTACTCAACTGGGGATTACAAGCTAGAAACAAAATTATTTTTGCTGATGAAAGTAGACAGTCTACTCTTTCAGAATCTGGTTTCAGATAGTCATAGTACACAATATTCTGTGGGTCTTTGAAAAAATCATTAGAAACTGCTGGCAATATGGAGTACCTGTTCTGAAATGGGCTGGCAGGCAATGAGTTAATAAACATTGAACCAGTCCGGCCCTCGGCTCGCAGAACATTTGTTTTTTTGGCCCTCTGATGTATTTGACTTTGACATGCCTGCTCTAGGGTGTGACTCTAGGTGGGCCTCTAGGGTGTGACTCTAGGTGGGACTCTAGGGTGTGACTCTAGGGTGTGACTCTAGGTGTGACTCTAGGTGGGACTCTAGCGTGTGACTCTAGGGTGTGACTCTAGGTGGGACTCTAGGGTGGGACTCTAGGGTGTGACTCTAGGGTGTGACTCTAGGTGGGACTCTAGGGTGTGACTCTAGGGTGTGAATCTAGGTGGCACTCTAGGTGGGACTCTAGGGTGTGACTCTAGGGTGTGACTCTAGGTGTGACTCTAGGTGTGACTCTAGGGTGTGACTCTAGGGTGCGACTCTAGGGTGTGACTCTAGGGTGTGACTCTAGGGTGGGACTCTAGGTGGGACTCTAGGGTGTGACTCTAGGGTGTGACTCTAGGTGTGACTCTAGGGTGTGACTCTAGGGTGCGACTCTAGGGTGTGACTCTAGGGTGTGACTCTAGGGTGGGACTCTAGGGTGTGACTCTAGGGTGTGTTTTTGGGACTGGATTGGACACTATGTGTCTGAGCTGCCCGAGTGTGCCCCGAGTGCCCCGCGCGCCCATTGTCTCGTACTCCAGGGAGAGCTTACTAGCGCTGCGAGGCCGCGTAGTGCTCCCGGAGGACAGACACAACATCCCGGACGAGCTGCTGCTAAAGACGTGCAGGAGCCGCCGCGCTGGGCAGAAAGTACGAGGGAGAAGGCGAGGATCCAGACCCGCTCTGCCCTCCGTGACCACCGGGAACGTGCGCTCGATGACCAACAAGGCAGACGAGCTGGCCAGCCTGACGCGTTATCAGAGGGAATATAAACACTGCAGCCTCCAGATCTACACAGAGACATGGCTGACCTCTGATAATCCGGACTCTACTGTGGACATGGATGACCGGACAGCCGCGAGTGGGAAGAGGAGAGGCGGAGGTCTGGCTGTGTTTGTGAATACGGACTACTGCAAGCCAGAGCACTGCACAGTAAAGACGCAGGTTTGTTGCAGAGACATTGAGCTTTTGGTTATCGGCATGCGTCCATACTATCTGCCACGGGAGTATAGTCACGTTATTGTTACAGCAGTGTATATACCCCCTTCGGCCAAAGCTGACAATGCATGTGAGAGCCTCTTTTCCACCATGAGCAGTCTACAAACACAGCACCCCCAGGCCCTGTTTATCATCACAGGGGATTATAATCACGCCTCTCCAGCCTCTACTCTCCCATCCTTCACCCAATACATCACCTTTCCCACACGAGGCAGTAAGACATTGGATTTATTCTTTGTTAATGTGAAGGATGCCTACACCGCGTCTGCCCTTCCCCCCCTGGGCAGAGCCGACCACAACATTGTCCATCTATGGCCCATTTATAAGCCGGTTGTGCGTAGGCATCCTGCTGTCTCACGTGTGGTGAAGCTGTGGAACGTGAACACAGAGGAGGCCCTCAGAGACTGTTTCGACACAACGCTGTGGAACGAGCTCTGTGACCCACAAGGGGAGGACATTAATGCCATGACAGAGTGTGTCACGGACTACATTAACTCATTCACTGCCCTCGTTTGCTCGTTTGCTGTAGGCAAACGAGCTAAATACATTCTTGGCTCGCTTTGACCAGCCTTCCCCTCCCCCTGCGCAGACGCTCCCCCTCACTACGGCAGCGGAACAAAGGGCAACACCTACGATCGTTCACACGTTCCCAGAGACACTCCCCCCCCACCCCCCCACCACTGAGCCCCCGTCCTCCCTACTCAGCACCCACTCCACCCAGCCCCCCTGCACCCTGACAGGGGGGTCAGTCACCGCTGCTCAGGTGAGCACAGAGATGAGGAGGATAAAGACCAGAAAGGCACCAGGACCAGATAACATCAGCTCCAGGCTCCTTCGCTCCTGTGCAGACAAACTCTGTGGAGTGATGGAGCGCGTCTTCAACCTGAGCCTCAAGCTGAGGGCGGTACCACAGCTCTGGAAGACCTCCTGTGTGGTACCGGTGCCCAAGAAACCACGGGCCAAAGACCTCAGCGACTTCAGGCCGGTGGCTCTAACATCCCACTGCATGAAGACACTGGAGAGACTGGTCCTGGGACATCTCCGTTCCACTCTGAGCCCAGCGATGGACCCGCTGCAGTTCGCCTACAGGCCGGGCATCGGAGTCGAGGACGCCATCATCTCCCTCCTCCACCGCTTGCTGTCCCACATAGAGAAACCCGGCTCCACTGTGAGGATCCTCTTCTTCGACTTCTCCAGCACCTTCAACACCATCCAGCCGAGGCTTCTCAGGGACAAGCTGGAGACAGCTGGAGTGGACTACGACCTGTCCCAGTGGATCCTGGACTACCTCACAGACAGACCCCAGTTTGTGAGAACCAGGCAATTTGTGTCGGAGGTCCTGACCTGCAGTGTGGGGGCCCCCCAGGAAACTGTCCGTGCGCCGTTCCTCTTCACCCTCTACACTGCGGACTTCAGACACAACACGGACGGTTGTGTTCTACAGAAGTTCTACAGACGACTCTGCCATCATCGGACTCAGCTCCGAGGACAATGACACAGAGTACAGAGGAGTTATACAGGACTTTGTGGACTGGTGTCAGCGGAACCACCTCCTCATCAACGTGAGGAAGACCAAGGAGATGAACCACCTCCTCATCAACGCGGGGAAGACCAAGGAGATGAACCACCTCCTCATCAACGCGGAGAAGACCAAGGAGATGAACCACCTCCTCATCAACGTGAGGAAGACCAAGGAGATGAACCACCTCCTCATCAACGCAGGGAAGACCAAGGAGATGAACCACCTCCTCATCAACGTGAGGAAGACCAAGGAGATGAACCACCTCCTCATCAACGCAGGGAAGACCAAGGAGATGAACCACCTCCTCATCAACGCAGGGAAGACCAAGGAGATGAACCACCTCCTCATCAACGTGAGGAAGACCAAGGAGATGAACCACCTCCTCATCAACGCGGGGAAGACCAAGGAGATGAACCACCTCCTCATCAACGCGGGGAAGACCAAGGAGATGAACCACCTCCTCATCAACGCGGGGAAGACTAAGGAGATGGTGGTGGATTTCCGCAGACGTCACTCTGCCGCTCCAGCTCCAGTGAACATCCAGGGAAAGGACATCGAGAGAGTGGACTCTTACAAGTACCTGGGTGTTCATCTGAACCACAAACTGGACTGGACTCATAAAACAGACGCCCTCTTCAAGAAGGGCCAGAGTCGCCTCTACCTGCTGAGGAGGCTTAGGTCTTTTGGAGTGCAGGGGCCACTCCTGAAGACCTTCTATGACTCTGTGGTGGCATCAGCCTCTTGTATGGTGTGGTCTGCTGGAACAGCAGCATCACAGAGAGGGACAGGAAGAAGCTGGAACATCAGGAAGTCCAGCTCAGTCCTGGGCTGTTCCCTGGACACAGTGCAGCAGGTGGGGGACAGGAGGGTCCTGAGCAAACTAACATCTATGCTGGACCATGACTGTCGCCCCCTGCTGGACACTCTCTCTGCTCTGGAGAGCAGCTTCAGTGACAGACTAATTCACCCTCGCTGTGTGAAGGAGAGGTTCCGTAGGTCTTTCCTTCCTGCTGCTGTCAGACTGTACAATAAGAACTGCTGAGCCTGTAAATTTCATTTATCTGTAATTAAGTAAATTCTTAAATCATGTGCAATGTGCAATACTGCAACTTCAGAATGTCACAGAACAATGTCACTTTACCTCATGTCACTTTACTTATATACTTTTATCCTGCACTATTTAACTGTACAGTATATAACTGCACTACTACATATATATATATTTGACTGGTATTGAAGCATTTTCAGCATCTACAGCTAGTTATGTTAGCTAAGAAACATAGCTACTACTTATTTGTATATATTGTGTGCTCCCTGTGTGCTCTTACTACTGTCCTGTCTGTGCGCTGCAACAACGACATTTCCCCACTGTGGGACGAATAAAGGAATTATGATCTTATTCTAGGCTGTGACTCTAGGGTGTGACTCTAGGGTGTCTATCAGACACTAGGGTGGGGTGTGACTCTAGGGTGTGACTCTAGGGTGTCTATCAGACTCTAGGGTGTGACTCTAGGGTGTCTATCAGACACTAGGGTGTGACTCTAGGGTGTCTATCAGACTCTGGGGTGTGACTCTAGGGTGTCTATCAGACACTAGGGTGTGACTCTAGGGTGTGACTCTAGGGTGTCTATCAGACTCTAGGGTGTGACTCTAGGGTGTCTATCAGACACTAGGGTGTGACTCTAGGGTGTCTATCAGACTCTAGGGTGTGACTCTAGGGCAGGGGTCGGCAACTCAAAAAGTTCAAAGAGCCATATTTGACCAGAAATACAAAAAACAAATGTGTCTGGAGCCGCATAAACGTAACTGCCTTGTATAAGGCTTATATGAAAGTACCACAGGCTGTAAGCTGCATTAGCCTAGCATCAACATGAGTAAGATTAGCCTAGCATCAACATGAGTAAGATTAGCCTAGCATCAACATGAGTAAGTATAGGCTACAAATACATAATATGCATTCATGATTATTATATGTATTTTCACTGTAGTGCAAGAGAATGACGCACCATGTGACTACTCTGCTATACGATATATGCTTTAAGTTTAACTTTCCTTTTGTTGCATTCATGCAATTGTAGAAATACAGTAAATAAATCCGTTTTTGGCTCAGAGTTCACACACCTGCATCACAGAACTGTCTGTTTATATCGATCACGTCACACGTCGTCACGGCTGGAGTTGGCTGGAGCTGAATGTCCTGAACAGTGTTTGCACTTCTTTGTTCCTCGTGTTGCAACAAAATTCAGTAGTAGAAGTTCAAAAATGAATCCGCTCCAGAATAACTGCGATCGCACTGTTTCTCTCCAAACTGGGGTCAGCAGCCAATTTTCCACATGACTCTTTTTGTTCTTCGATATATTCTCACAAAGCAAAAAGGAAGCAGTCCTTCCTCATTCACAATGAAAGCAAATGTTCCAGTCCATTCTTCCCTGAATTCTCGGTTCTTATCAACTCTTTCTCAATATAGCTTTGGGATTCATGTGGCACATGCCGGTTTGTTTACAACAGCCGTAACCGCGCGTCGCAGGAGATGACGCAATCCGTGTATCATTCGTTCTTTTGTTGACAGAAATGTTAAAATTGAATATTTCTCATGCACATTTTTACTACATTGGAAAAGGTTAAGAATGTTGTCCCTCCTACAGAAACCACATTGAAACTAGAAATAAAATATACCCCTCCCACTCCATTTTCAGACATTTTTGAAAAGGCTCCAGGAGCCACTCAAGGGGCACTAAAGAGCCGCATGCGGCTCCGGAGCCGCGGGTTGCCGACCCCTGCTCTAGGGTGTCTAGACACTAGGGTGTGACTCTAGGGTGTCTCTCAGACTCTATGGTGTCTCTCATACTCTATGGTGTCTCTCAGACTCTATGGTGTCTCTCAGACTCTAGACTAATTACTGAACTATTTTATCACATGTTTCTCGCTGTGTGAAGGAGAGGTTTCGCAGGTCCTTCCTTCCTGCTGCTGTCAGACTGTACAACGAGAATGTGTAACAGGAACTGCTGAGTCTGCACAAGTGTCACTGATAATTCACTACAGTAACTTCTCACCAGTCACTTTACTGCTGTTAGTATGACTGTATTATTATATATCTGATATTTACTGTTAGTATGACTGTATTATTATATATCTGATATTTACTGTTAGTATGACTGTATTATTATATATCTGATATTTACTGTTAGTATGACTGTATTATTATATATCTGATATTTACTGTTAGTTTGACTGTATTATTATATATCTGATATTTACTGTTAGTATGACTGTATTATTATATATCTGATATTTACTGTTAGTATGACTGTATTATTATATATCTGATATTTACTGTTAGTATGACTGTATTATTATATATCTGATATTTACTGTTAGTTTGACTGTATTATTATATATCTGATATTTACTGTTAGTATGACTGTATTATTATATATCTGATATTTACTGTTAGTATGACTGTATTATTATATATCTGATATTTACTGTTAGTATGACTGTATTATTATATATCTGATATTTACTGTTAGTATGACTGTATTATTATATATCTGATATTTACTGTTAGTATGACTGTATTATTATATATCTGATATTTACTGTTAGTTTGACTGTATTATTATATATCTGATATTTACTGTTAGTTTGACTGTATTATTATATATCTGATATTTACTGTTAGTATGACTGTATTATTATATATCTGATATTTACTGTTAGTTTGACTGTATTATTATATATCTGATATTTACTGTTAGTATGACTGTATTATTATATATCTGATATTTACTGTTAGTATGACTGTATTATTATATATCTGATATTTACTCTTAGTATGACTGTATTATTATATATCTGATATTTACTGTTAGTATGACTGTATTATTATATATCTGATATTTACTGTTAGTTTGACTGTATTATTATATATCTGATATTTACTGTTAGTATGACTGTATTATTATATATCTGATATTTACTGTTAGTATGACTGTATTATTATATATCTGATATTTACTGTTAGTTTGACTGTATTATTATATATCTGATATTTACTGTTAGTATGACTGTATTATTATATATCTGATATTTACTGTTAGTTTGACTATATTATTATATATCTGATATTTACTGTTAGTATGACTGTATTATTATATATCTGATATTTACTGTTAGTATGACTGTATTATTATATATCTGATATTTACTGTTAGTATGACTGTATTATTATATATCTGATATTTACTGTTAGTTTGACTGTATTATTATATATCTGATATTTACTGTTAGTATGACTGTATTATTATATATCTGATATTTACTGTTAGTTTGACTGTATTATTATATATCTGATATTTACTGTTAGTTTGACTGTATTATTATATATCTGATATTTACTGTTAGTTTGACTGTATTATTATATATCTGATATTTACTGTTAGTATGACTGTATTATTATATATCTGATATTTACTGTTAGTATGACTGTATTATTATATATCTGATATTTACTGTTAGTATGACTGTATTATTATATATCTGATATTTACTGTTAGTATGACTGTATTATTATATATCTGATATTTACTGTTAGTTTGACTATATTATTATATATCTGATATTTACTGTTAGTTTGACTGTATTATTATATATCTGATATTTACTCTTAGTATGACTGTATTATTATATATCTGATATTTACTGTTAGTTTGACTGTATTATTATATATCTGATATTTACTGTTAGTTTGACTGTATTATTATATATCTGATATTTACTGTTAGTATGACTGTATTATTATATATCTGATATTTAATGTTAGTTTGACTGTATTATTATATATCTGATATTTACTGTTAGTATGACTGTATTATTATATATCTGATATTTACTGTTAGTATGACTGTATTATTATATATCTGATATTTACTGTTAGTATGACTGTATTATTATATATCTGATATTTACTCTTAGTATGACTGTATTATTATATATCTGATATTTACTGTTAGTTTGACTGTATTATTATATATCTGATATTTACTCTTAGTATGACTGTATTATTATATATCTGATATTTACTGTTAGTATGACTGTATTATTATATATCTGATATTTACTCTTAGTATGACTGTATTATTATATATCTGATATTTACTGTTAGTATGACTGTATTATTATATATCTGATATTTACTACTCTTAGTATGACTGTATTATTATATATCTGATATTTACTGTTAGTATGACTGTATTATTATATATCTGATATTTACTCTTAGTATGACTGTATTATTATATATCTGATATTTACTGTTAGTATGACTGTATTATTATATATCTGATATTTACTGTTAGTATGACTGTATTATTATATATCTGATATTTACTGTTAGTATGACTGTATTATTATATATCTGATATTTACTGTTAGTTTGACTGTATTATTATATATCTGATATTTACTGTTAGTATGACTGTATTATTATATATCTGATATTTACTGTTAGTTTGACTGTATTATTATATATCTGATATTTACTGTTAGTATGACTGTATTATTATATATCTGATATTTACTGTTAGTTTGACTGTATTATTATATATCTGATATTTACTGTTAGTATGACTGTATTATTATATATCTGATATTTACTGTTAGTATGACTGTATTATTATATATCTGATATTTACTCTTAGTATGACTGTATTATTATATATCTGATATTTACTGTTAGTTTGACTGTATTATTATATATCTGATATTTACTCTTAGTATGACTGTATTATTATATATCTGATATTTACTGTTAGTTTGACTGTATTATTATATATCTGATATTTACTGTTAGTTTGACTGTATTATTATATATCTGATATTTCACAGTCACTTTACCTGTTGATATTATTTCTGATATTTATTCTGCTCATATTCTCATATTCTCCGAGGCTTTTTACATCTGTAAATACTTTTGAACCAAGTGCAATTATAGCCCAGAGTTTATCTCATTTTATTTTATTCTTATCTTAATTTGATTGTCTATTATCTTAAATAACAGACTCTTTGATGTGTGGGTCTTATGTCCTCTCTCTGCTGTAACGATGACACTGACATTTCTCACAGTGAGAATAACAAAGATTCATCTCATCTTTTTCAGTGCATTCAGACATATATAAACACTTATGTCTGTCTCCTCCTGTCTCTGTCTCCTCCTCTTTCTGTCTCCTCTCTCTGTCTGCTCCTGGCTCTGTCTCCTCCTCTCTCTGTCTCCTCCTGTCTCTGTCTCCTACTGTCTCTGTCTCCTCCTCTCTCTGTCTCCTCCTGTCTCTGTCTGCTCCTGTCTCTGTCTCCTCCTGTCTCTGTCTCCTCCTCACTCTGTCTGCTCCTCTCTCTGTGTCCTCCTGTCTCTGTCTCCTCCTCTCTCTGTGTCCTCCTGTCTCTGTCTCCTCCTCTCTCTGTCTCCTCCTGTCTCCTCCCTGCTCCTCCTGCCTCCTCCTGCCTTAGGGCCATGGTCTGTGGGACAATAAGGAGGTGGAGATGCCAGATTTCTTCAAGAAGCTGAAGAAGAAAGTGGACAAGAAGAAGAGTCAGGGATCAGAGAAGAGGAGCAGAGAGACTCGCTGTCTGAAGCTCCTCCCTATCAGCACCTCCTCCAGCACCTGCCTGTGCTGTCGCAGGAGGAGAGGAGGCACAGAGTCTGACGGTAACTGTGCTTTTATAACTACACAGGTTAAAGGAGGCGCAGACACTGTATAACTACACAGGTTAAAGGAGGCGCAGACACTGTATAACTACACAGGTTAAAGGAGAAGCAGACTCTGTATAACTACACAGGTTAAAGGAGGCGCAGACACTGTAGAACTACACAGGTTAAAGGAGGCGCAGACTCTGTATAACTACACAGGTTAAAGGAGGCGCAGACTTATGAGGACTGGGGGATGGACACTTATGAGGACCTGGGGATGGAGACTTATGAGGACTAGGGGATGGAGACTTATGAGGACTAGGGGATGGAGACTTAAGATGACTAAGGGATGGAGACTTATGAGGACCGGGGGATGGAGACTTATGAGGACTAGGGGATGGAGACTTATGAGGACCGGGGGATGGAGACTTATGAGGACTAGGGGATGGAGATTTATGAGGACCGGGGGATGGAGACTTATGAGGACTAAGGGATGGAGACTTATGAGGACCGGGGGATGGAGACTTATGAGGACTAGGGGATGGAGACTTATGAGGACCGGGGGATGGAGACTTATGAGGACTAAGGGATGGAGACTTATGAGGACCGGGGGATGGAGACTTATGAGGACTAGGGGATGGAGACTTATGAGGACCGGGGGATGGAGACTTATGATCAGGGTCAGGTTCATTATCACTACTACTGCTTACAAACATATCATATGTCATTGGGTTGTTGTGTTGTTGTTGTGTTGTTTGCAGAAGGGAAACCCAAGAAGCAGAGCAGTAAAAAGAGGAGAAAGCGAAACCAAACTCCTCTGACTCGGAAACAGCTCCTGAGACAACAGCTCCGAGAGAAGATGCTACAGGCCAAGGCTGCGGTCATTGAAGTGTAGGTCCACACACACACACTGATACACACGTACACACACACACTGATACACACAGATACACACACTGACACACACAGATACACACACTGACACACATAGATACACACTGATACACACACTGACACACATAGATACACACAGATACACACTGATACACACACAGACACACAGATACACACACACACACACACACACACTAATACACACATACACACACACACACAGATACACACTGATACACACACACACACACACACTGATACACACTGATACACCCTGATACACACATACACACAAACACACTGATACACACAGATACACACAGATACACACTGAAAAAAAACACACACACACACAAACACACACACACTGATACACACACTGATGGACATTGATGCACACCAGGGAGAGACCAGAGAGAGACCAGAGAGAGACCAGAGCGAGACCAGAGAGAGAGACCAGAGAGAGAGACCAGAGAAAGAAACCAGAGGGAGACCAGAGAGAGAAACCAGAGAAAGAAACCAGAGGGAGACCAGAGAGAGAAACCAGAGAGTCCTCACTCAGCCCACAGTCTTCATCACATGTTCCTCCTCTTCCTCTATTCCCACAGAGCACTGCACATTTACTTACCCATCAGGCAGTTCTTCTATGACATCATCCACCCGGACTACAGCCCTGTGTGTGACGTGTACGCGCTCATGTTCCTCATCGACGTCGTCAACTTCATCGTCACCATCTACGGATACTGGGCCTTTGGGGTCAGAGTCCTGATACTGGGCCTTTGGGGTCAGAGTCCTGATACTGGGTCTTTGGGGTCAGAGTCCTGATACTGGGCCTTTGGGGTCAGAGTCCTGATACTGGGTCTTTGGGGTCAGAGTCCTGATACTGGGTCTTTGGGGTCAGAGTCCTGATACTGGGTCTTTGGGGTCAGAGTCCTGATACTGGGTCTTTGGGGTCAGAGTCCTGATACTGGGTCTTTGGGGTCAGAGTCCTGATACTGGGTCTTTGGGGTCAGAGTCCTGATACTGGGCCTTTGGGGTCAGAGTCCTGATACTGGGTCTTTGGGGTCAGAGTCCTGATACTGGGTCTTTGGGGTCAGAGACCTGATACTGGTCTTTGGGGTCAGAGTCCTGATACTGGGCCTTTTGGGGTCAGAGTCCTGATACTGGGCCATTTGGGGTCAGAGTCCTGATACTGGGTCTTTGGGGTCAGAGTCCTGGTACTGGGTCTTTGGGGTCAGAGTCCTGATACTGGGTCTTTGGGGTCAGAGTCCTGGTACTGGGTTTTTGGGGTCAGAGTCCTGATACTGGGCCTTTGGGGTCAGAGTCCTGATACTGGGTCTTTGGGGTCAGAGTCCTGATACTGGGTCTTTGGGGTCAGAGTCCTGATACTGGGTCTTTGGGGTCAGAGTCCTGATACTGGGTTTTTGGGGTCAGAGTCCTGATACTGGGCCTTTGGGGTCAGAGTCCTGATACTGGATCTTTGGGGTCAGAGTCCTGATACCGGGCCTTTGGGGTCAGAGTCCTGATACTGGGCCTTTGGGGTCAGAGTCCTGATACTGGGTCTTTGGGGTCAGAGTCCTGATACTGGGCCTTTGGGTTCAGAGTCCTGATACTGGGTCTTTGGGGTCAGAGTCCTGATACTGGGTCTTTGGGGTCAGAGTCCTGATACTGGGTCTTTGGGGTCAGAGTCCTGATACTGGGTCTTTGGGGTCAGAGTCCTGATACTGGGTCTTTGGGGTCAGAGTCCTGATACTGGGTCTTTGGGGTCAGAGTCCTGATACTGGGTCTTTGGGGTGAGAGTCCTGATACTGGGTCTTTGGGGTCAGAGTCCTGATACTGGGTCTTTGGGGTGAGAGTCCTGATACTGGGCCTTTGGGTTCAGAGTCCTGATACTGGGTCTTTGGGGTCAGAGTCCTGATACTGGTCTTTGGGGTCAGAGTCTTGATACTGGACCTTTGGGTTCAGAGTCCTGATACTGGGTCTTTGGGGTCAGAGTCCTGATACTGGTCTTTGGGTTCAGAGTCCTGATACTGGACCTTTGGGGTCAGAGTCCTGATACTGGGTCTTTGGGGTCAGAGTCTTGATACTGGACCTTTGGGGTCAGAGTCCTGAGTTTATGGTTAGTTATTATCTCATATATTATAATGTCATAAAAACATATATATTATTTTTTACAGTACAGTGACATGTCAGAGGGTTGTCCTAACCCTAACACTGATAACTCAACCCTAACTGAACCCTAACCGAACCCTAACCTAACCTAACCCTAACCAAACCATAACCTAACCGAACCCTAACCTAACCTAACCTAGCCTAGCCTAACTCAACCCTAGCCTAGCCTAGCCTAACCCAACCCAACCCTACCCTAACCTAGCCTAACCCAACCCTAACCTAACCTAACCTAAACTAGCCTAACCCAACCCTAACCTAACCTAACCTAGCCTAGCCTAGCCTAACCCAACCCAACCCTAACCTAACCTAACCTAACCTAGCCTAACCCAACCCAACCCTAACCTAACCCAACCCTAGCCTAACCTAACCTAACCTAGCCTAACCCAACCCTAACCTAACCTAGCCTAACCTAGCCTAACCCAACCCCAACCTAGCCTAGCCTAGCCCAACCCAACCCTAACCTAACTTAACCTAACCTAGCCTAACCCAACCCTAGCCTAACCTAACCCAACCCTAACCTAACCTAGCCTAGCCTAGCCTAACCCAACCCTAACCTTACCTAACCTAACCTAACCTAACCTAGCCTAGCCTAGCCTAGCCTAGCCTATCCCAACCCAACCCAACCCTAACCTAGCCTAACCTAACCTAACCTAGCCTAACCCAACCCTAGCCTAACCTAACCTAACCTAACCCAACCCTAACCTTGTGTGTGCAGAAGTACTCTGCGGCTGCGGACATCACTGAGTCTCTGTCTGAAGACCAGGTTCCCGAGGCCTTCCTGGTGATGCTGCTGATGCAGTTTGGGACCATGATCGTGGACCGGGCCTTGTACCTGAAGAAGTCTCTGCTGGGAAAGTGTGTGTTTCAGGTGGTGCTGGTGTTTGGCATCCACTTCTGGATGTTCTTCATTCTGCCTGGAGTCACCGAGAGGTCAGAGGTCACTGTGCATCAGACACATGGCCCCCGATACTATTCACCGTTAACATTCTCCTGCTGTATGTTACAAACACATCCATATTGTTAATATATGTGTATACATGTCCAGGACTGAGGCTGTAGGTCCAGGACTGAGGCTGTAGGTCCAGGACTGAGGCTGTAGGTCCAGGACTGAGGCTGTAGACCAGGACTGAGGCTGTAGACCAGGATTGAGGCTGTAGATCCAGGACTGAGGCTGTAGACCAGGACTGAGGCCGTAGACCCAGGACTGAGGCTGTAGATCCAGGACTGAGGCTGTAGATCCAGGACTGAGGTGGCTCCTAGGCCCCACTATTCATCCCAGTGGGATGCTAGCACTGATTCCACAGTGAAGGACCTTGGAGCTAAATGCTCTGCCGCCAACAGTGCTTTTTGAAACCTTAGGGATCTGCAGACGTCTGGCGTTTTGCGAGCGCAGTGCTCGGCTTGGTTGATAATCATCAGCCATCTTGTACGGTGTGGTCTGCTGGAACAGCAGCATCACAGAGAGGGACAGGAAGAAGCTGGAACATCAGGAAGTCCAGCTCAGTCCTGGGCTGTTCCCTGGACACAGTGCAGCAGGTGGGGGACAGGAGGGTCCTGAGCAAACTAACATCTATGCTGGACCATGACTGTCGCCCCCTGCAGGACACTCTCTCTGCTCTGGAGAGCAGCTTCAGTGACAGACTAATTCACCCTCGCTGTGTGAAGGAGAGGTTCCGTAGGTCTTTCCTTCCTGCTGCTGTCAGACTGTACAATAAGAACTGCTGAGCCTGTAAATTTCATTCATCTGTAAATAAGTAAATTCTTAAATCATGTGCAATGTGCAATACTGCAACTTCAGAATGTCACAGAACAATGTCACTTTACCTCATGTCACTTTACTTATATACTTTTATCCTGGACTATTTAACTGTACAGTATATAACTGCACTACTACATATATATATATTTTTGACTGGTATTGAAGCATTTTCAGCATCTACAGGTAGTTATGTTAGCTAAGAAACATAGCTACTACTTATTTGTATATATTGTGTGTGCTCCCTGTGTGCTCTTACTACTGTCCTGTCTGTGCGCTGCAACAACGACATTTCCCCACTGTGGGACGAATAAAGGAATTCTTATCTTATCTTATAAGACATTAACATGTCTTGAAGATAGGAGGGAGCCAAGCCATTTATGGCTTTGTATGCCAAGAGAAGAATTTTAGGGGAAGTTCCTGGAAGCAGCCACCGATGGCGAACGTGTCTCTGTGAGCTCCGTTATACCCAAGGGATTTGACCTCGCAATACACCTGTTTTTGCTCCTGTATGACACCAGTCTCGTGTGAGCTCACATATTAAACCATCTGGGTCATCTGACTGCACTCCGATAATTAAACAACGTCTCCTGGCGAACAAATTTAACTCCGTGCCAACTAACGCTACGCTAACCACGAGCTAGCCGCAAGATGGCAGGGGAACAAAAAACCAACTCTGAAGTTGGTCATGAATATACGTGACTCACACAATGAACTATCAGCTAAGATAGACAGGAACCAAACTGACCTACAACAATCCCTGGCGAAAATTGAACAAGCTCAAACCACGCTTTTTGAGCAAGTGAAGGAAATGGAGACCCGCGTTGGAGCTAACGAGGACAACATGACGCTGTGACCCCTATCACCACAATGGAGAACAAAATCAAACTCCTGAAAGTAAAGGCTGATGACTTGGAAAATAGGAGTAGGAGGTCAAATATTAAGATTATCAATGTCCCAGAAAGAGTGGAAGGCAACGACACGGCCGCCTTCGTGGAGCGCCTTATCCCTAGGCTGTTTGGGGAAGGACATACTACAGCGCTGAGACCCAACGCAACATGCTCGCATACAACGAGGTGAAGAAGAAGCTACGGGATAAAAACATGGAGTACGCGAGCCGCTATCCTGCAAAGCTCAGAGTGCGCCACGAAGGGGCATTCAAGCTTTTCACATCACCCGCGGAGGTGGAAAACTTTCTGCGCACTTTGGAAGATTAATATCATCTGAACTGGACACGATTAGCGTTATTACCCCGAACACAGGTACAGACTGTATTTTCCATGTGTGTTGACACGTTCAACATTGTCATATATGTTTAGCAGTATAGATATTTAAATACCAATGACTCCCGCTTGGGCAGCAGATTTATAGATATAGCTGTACCTACCCGAATGTTATTTCTGTTTTGTTCTACTTTTTATTTTTGTAGGGTGGGTTTTGTGTTTTTTTTAATTACTTTTAAATGGGTTTTGGGGCTCTCTCTCTACACATCAGTATCATTTATTAAACCAAATATACCTCGTTGATAATTATTTCGAAAACAAAGTTATCTGATTAATGGTCAATAGTTTTGGACAAATAATCTGTAAATTAAACGAAAGAAGGTACTAACATATTTGAAGAAACAACATGCAGATATTGCTCTAATTCAGGAGACCCATCTCACTGACACAGAGCACCTGAAGCTGCGCAGGGACTGGCTCGGTCATGTCTTTTATTCCTCATTCACATCAAAAGCTCTGCTCATAAATAAAAACTTAAAATTTCAGTTAAATTTAACAGACAAGAATAGGTCCGGTAGATACGTATTAAATGATTGTGTTATAAATACAAACAGATTAACATTGGTGTCTGTTTATGGCCCTAATATAGACGATCCAAGTTTTTTTAACAACTTCATTATGAGGCTAGCAGAAACAGAGGGCAAATGTATAGTGGGGGGTGACTTTAATCTTTTGAACCCTGCTTTAGACCGATCGTCACCCACAACAACCAATTGCTCCAAATCTGCAAAAGCCCTATCTCAAGGAATGAAGGATCTTGGCTTAAAGGACATATGGCGATTACAGAACCCTGTGATGAGAGACTATTCCTTTTACTCTAATGTACATAACACATATTCCAGAATTGATATGTTTTTAACTTCACAAGCAAATTCAAACCTGCTCATATTTAGCAGCCACTATCTCAGACCATAATGCCATAAAGTTAGAAATTGATCTGCTCGACTCCAAACACCATCCTGGCAATTGGAGATTTAAACCCTATCTATTGAAAGACCCTGATTTCATTACATTTATGAACACAAAAATAGACTAGATAGATTACATAGAAACAAATATAAACACTGCCTCTCATTCAATTGTATGGGAAGCCCTTAAGACCAATATGAGAGGTTACATCATTTCGTATATTTCACATAAAAACAAGAAAAAAAAAGAACGCATTACACAGCTGGAAAGTTAAATTAGAGTACTAGAACCATGCTCAAACTAAACAAACTGGAGCTCTCAACGCTCTAAAGCAAAAACGTATTTTTTTATGATAATTTGTGTACAGGCAAAGCTGAAGCTGCAATGGCCAGAACCAAATACCATTATTATGAATATGGAAACAAAACCAGTAGATTTCTTGCATTACAACTTAAAAAAAGATGCTAGAAAACTAATCCATTGCATTGAAACTGATGATGGACAGCTCTTAGAAGGGTCCAAGGATATAAACACTAAATTTAAAATACTATGAAACATTATACAAACGAGCAAACAAGGAGTTCCAGGTAAAGAATATGAGTAACTCACCTCCCTAAATTGACCAGTGCAGACCGCGGTTTACTGGATATGGACATTTCTGAAGAGGAAGTCTTCCTGGCAATGAAAAGTTTACAAAATAATAAGGCGCTAGGGCAAGATGGATACCCGATTGAATACTTCAAAACTTTTTCCAAAAAAATACTATCCCCTCTTACAAATATCATCAGGGAAGCATTTGAGAGACAAGCTCTTCCAAAGACCTTAGAGCTTGCAAGTGTAACAGTAATTCCTAAACCTGGAAAGGATACGCGGAGCTGCAACAACTACAGACCCCTCCATCCATCCATCCATTTTCTTCCGCTTTATCCGTTGCCGGGTCGCGGGGGCAGCAGTCTAAGCAGAGACGCCCAGACTTCCCTATCCACACACACTTCCTCCAGCTCGTCCGGGGGGACCCCAAGGCGTTCCCAGGCCAGCTGGGAGACATAGTCCCTCCCGCGTGTCCTAGGTCTTCCCCGGGGCCTCCTCCCGGTGGGACGTGCCCGGAACACCTCCCCAGGGAGGCGTCCAGGAGGCATCCGGAACAGATGCCCGAGCCACCTCAACTGGTTCCTCTCGACGTAAAGAAGCAGCGGCTCTACTCCGAGCTCCTCCCGTGTGACTGAGCTCCTCACCCTATCTCTAAGGGAGCGCCCAGCCACTCTGCGGAGGAAGCTCATTTCGACCGCTTGTATCCGCGATCTCGTTCTTTCGGTCATTACCCAAAGCTCATGAGGGAACGAAGATTGACCGGTAAATTGAGAGCTTTGCCTTTCGACTCAGCTCCCTCTTTACCACAACGGTCCGATACAGCTCTGACTGCAGACGCTGCTCCCTCTTTACCACAACGGTCCGATACAGCGACCGCATCACTGCACACGCTGCACCGATCCGCCTGTCAATCTCACGCTCCATTCTTCCCTCACTCGTGAACAAGACCCCGAGATACTTGAACTCCTCCACTTGAGGAAGGACCTCTCCACCCACCTGGAGAGGGCAAGGCACCTTTTTCCGGTCGAGCACCATGGCCTCGGATTTGGAGGTGCTGATTCTCATCCCAGCCGCTTCACACTCGGCTGCAAACCGCCCCAGTGCATGCTGCAGGTCCTGGTTCGTTGGAGCCAACAGGACAACATCGTCCGAACCGGACCCCCTCCGACCCCTGGCTGCGCCTAGATATTCTGTCCATAAATACAGTGAACAGAACCGGTGACAAAGGGCAGCCCTGTCGGAGGCCAACATTCACCGGGAACAGGTCTGACTTACTGCCGGCAAGGGAACACAGCTCTCGCTCCGGTCATACAGGGATCGGATGGCCCTCAGCAGAGGACCTCCGACCCCGTACTCCCGGAGAACCTCCCAAAGGACACCCCGAGGAACACAGTCGAACGCCTTCTCCAAATCCACAAAGCACATGTGGACAGGTTGGGCGAACTCCCATGAACCCTCGAGTATCCGATGGAGAGTATAGAGCTGGTCCAGTGTTCCGCGACCGGGACGAAAACCACACTGCTCCTACTGAATCCGAGATTCGACCATCGGACGTAGCCTCCTCTCCAGTACCTTGGAGTAGACCTTACCGGGGAGGCTGAGAAGTGTGATCCCACGATAATTGGAACACACCCTCCGGTCCCCCTTCTTGTAGAGAGGGACCACCACCCCGGTCTGCCACTCCATTGGCACCGCCCCCAATCGCCACGCGATGTTGCAGAGACGTGTCAGCCAAGACAGTCCTACAACATCCAGAGACTTTAGAGTCAGGGCGGATCTCATCCACACCCGGAGCCTTGCCACCATGGAGGCTGCCAACCACCTTGGTGACCTCAGCCAGGGAGATGGATGTATCCGCCCCAACATCCTCAGCCTCTGCCTCTGTAACAGAGGACGTGACTAACTACAGACCCCTCAGTCTTCGGATTACAAAGTAAAACATTATCCCCAAAATTATTCATGCTGACCAGACTGGTTTTGTTAAAAACAGACAGGGTGCGGACAATGTTAGGAGACTCTTGCATATTATTGACTATAACCAAAAACATAAAGAACCAACAGTGATCATGTCAATGGACGCGGAGAAGGCCTTCGACAGGATAGAGCCATCCTTCCTGTTCGAGACCATGAGGGCGATGAATTTTGGTGACACTTTCCTTGGCTATGTTAAAACTTTGTTCGACTTTGTACCTTTCTTTGTTCAAGAAAGGTATAAAAAATGTCAATGACCTTTATATCGATAACGTATTTGCAGAATTCAGCAAATTATCTAAATGTTATAAGTTAGACAAGCACAATTTTTTTCAAATACTTACAAATCAGAAATAGGATCAAAAGTGAATCAAAGGACTTCTTTCCAACTAAACCAAATGACACACATTTGGAGTCTTGCCTTTTTGACAAAAAGCGCGGGACTACAAAAGGTTTAACGTCCACTGTGTATAGAATTGTAGTTGGAAACTTACCAGCATATGAAAAATCTTCAATTAAGACAAAATGGGAATCTGACCGAGGATGCTCCTACACGAACGAAACATGGGACAAATTACTGAAACTTGTCAGACAAAACTTGTATCTACCAAACACAGACAAATTCAATTCAATATTTTCCATAGAACATATTTCACTCCATATAGATTAAGTAAATTTGACAACAGTATTTCTGACCAATGTCAACTATGCAAAACATCAACAGGTGATCTTGTACACATGCTATGGAATTGTAATAAATTGCAATCTTATTGGCTATATGTGATCAATATCACTTCTAAGATATGTGGCCTACAGTTGGACCTTGATCCCAAAAAATCCACGTCACTTTTAGGAAGGAAATTCCTAATTTTAGCAAAGTGGAAGTACGCCGTTTTAGTTGCTTGGCTTATATAAGCCTTGAAGGAGAGTTCTTGGTCAAAAATGACTCCAAGATTCCTCACAGTGTTACTGGGTATAATACTGACATTATCAGAGTGATTATCTGGTTAGTGAGGGAGTCACGCAGGCGCTTCGGACCGAGTAGGATCACTTCTGTCTTCTCCGGGTTGAGAAGTAGGAAGTTAAGAGTCATCCACGTTTTAAGGTCCTTCAGATCTGTCTGATTTGGCTTCATCGACAGATAAAGCTGTGTGTCATCTGCAGCAGTGGAAATTAATTCCATTCTTTTTGATAATGTTTCCTAACGGCAGCATGTAGAGAGTGAAATGAATCGTTCCGAGTACCGAACCCTGCGGCACACCGAATTCTACTCCAGAATAAGGCGACGAGTTCTGATTTACGTTGACAAAGTGATACCGATCTGATAAATAGGATTTAAACCAGCCAAGGGCTGTTCCTCTAAGACCTATATCACATTCTAGCCTCTGCAGTAGAATGCTGTGGTCTATTGTGTCAAATGCAGCACTAAGGTCCAGTAGGACCAGCACTGACACTTGTCCATT